GGCAGCCAATATGCGTTCGGACAGCAGATCCCCCTTTGCAATAATCGCGCAGACGTCGTCCCAAGAGAGGAAATACATGTGCTCGTTGTGCCAGACGGTGCAATCCTCGCACTGGGTTCCGATGGGCTGCTGCTGCGGAGGCTCGCCCTTCTTGCCCGCCTTGGTGAGGTACTGCGCCCAAGGGATGAGTTCACCGTCGTTGACCTCTCGACGTCGTCGTCGTCGTCTTCGTCGTCGACGTCGTAGTCGTCGTCGTCGTCGTCGTCGTCGTCGTCGTCGTCGTCATCGTCGTCGTCGTCGTCGTGGTCGTCGTCGTCGTCGTCGTAATCGTCGTAATCGTCGCAATCGTCGTTGTCGCAATTGTCGAGAGGCACGCCATTGCATAAACCAGCAGACCTCCGTCGCCTTCCGCCCGCAGAGGTCGCGCGGGCCGAACTTCTTGACCTTCGTAGGTGGCGCCGCCTCGGCCTCGGACGCTGCCTTGGCCTTCCTCGAGGCACCCGTGGCTGACGGCTGACGGCCGACGCCGCGCTCGGTCAGCGCGAACGGGCCAGCGCAGGGAGCAAGCCCCTTCAGGGCGAAAGGTTTGAGATCGGGGCGGCGGAGGCGAGGCGCGGTGGGCGGCCGGCCCGAAAGGAGGAGGGGAGAGGGAAGAGGATGAGGAGGAGGGGGGGAAGAGGGGAAGAGGCTGCAAGAGGGGAAGAGGGGAGGAGGGGAGAGGGGAAGAATGCTGCAGGAGGGGGGGAGCCCGAAAGGAGGAATAGAAGTGTAAGAGGGGAAGAGGTTGCAGGAGGGGGGGAGCCCGAAGGAGGAAGAGGGGAAGAGGGGAGGAGGGGAGAGGAGGAGAGCGTTGCAAGAGGGGAAGAGGGGACGAATAAGGGAAGAGGTTGCAGGAGGGGAGGAGCCCGAAATGGGGAAGAGGGGAAGTGGGGAAGAGAGGGGGAAGAGGGAAAGCAATTTGACATCCATGGTAAATCACCCGCCCTTCCTGACCCCCTCCCTCCCCCCTCCTCCATCCCTCTTTTTCCATCACCCCTTCCACCCATTATTTTACTCTGCCGATCCCACCCGTGCAACAGAACCCTGGGAACGCAAATTCACATCATGCATACACATATACACGAACGAGTACGCATAGGGCCGCACGCTGAGGCCTCGAGCATCCATCGCCCGATTCGTCAGCTGGCCACTCCGCGCGGCCGCTCGCAGCGCCGTGACCTCGGCCTCTCTGCAATCGCGGTCGGGCCAGCCTCCAAGAACGATCATCTTCCTCCAGCGGCAGCGATGCCCACGCATACGAGTTGGCCCGTCACGACCGTCTCCTCGCCATGACAGCCCGCCCCGCCACCTCCACTTCGGGTCCGACGTGCTCCCGATGTACGCGCGGCCGCAGCCGCGCGATCTCGCGCAATCTAGGCCGTGCCGCACCCGATCGAGCAACTCCTCCGCCGCGATGTCCAAACACGGCCTCAGGACGGTCACGTCACTGTCGGCAGCGCCCAACACCATCTCGGCCTCGTCCCGCGCAATGTCCCATCTCATGGCCCTGATCGGCGGCATTGCGACCCACGCCTCATGGTCGCGTCGGCTGCCTCGCGACCCACGTCCAATCTCAGGCTCCTGATCGGCGGCATCGCGTCCCGCGGTATGTCCCGTCTCAGGGCCCTGATCGGCAGCGGCCGCCTGGGCAGGTGCGCGCGTCGTCGCACAGGTCGCGCCGACCGCCGCGCTGGACTCTGGCACGCTGGAATCCACCACGCTGGGCTCCACGATGGATTCCGCCACGTTGGACTCTACCACGCTGGACTCCACCGCGATGACCGCCACGCTGGACGCCGCAGCCGCCACGCTGGACTCTGCCACGCTGGACTCCACGCTGGGCGCTGTAGCCGTCGAACTGGCCGTTGCACGTGCCGTCGCCACCGCCGCGCTGGCCATCGCGGTCGCCTCGCAAGCGGCAATGGCAGCCGCCGCACTGGGCGCCAGAGCCGCCACGCTGGACTCCGCCACGCTGGACACCACGATGGGCAAGATAGGCGTCGTAGCCGTCGAACTCGCCGTCGCACTTGCCGCGTCGTCCGCCACTACCCAAGCCACCTCGCAGGCCGCAATGGCAGTCGCTGCCGATGCACTGGGCATGGGCGCACCTGCCGTCGCAGCCAGTGGACTGGCCGCAGATGCCGTCGCCGCAACCGACGCATTGTCCGCCAGTGTCGTCACTCGGCGCCGTCTCGCACTCGGCACCGCCTCGCACTCGGAATCACTGCTGATGCACGACAATTCTGCTGCTCGGCGGCGAAGCCGCAAGCAGCGATATTCCTCCACAAGCGGCGAAAAACCCCACTGCCGCTCTGCCGTGCGAGACCAGCCCTCCCAGCGCTGCATCGCGACCGCGAAGGATTGGCCCGTCCAGCATCGAACGCGCCCGCCCGCGGGCAAGCCATGCCGCGCCCGTGCTCTATCGCGGGCGGCGCGACTTTGAGCCAAAACGGATACGGAGAGAGATTCCAGACACGCACTGCCCATTGGCGCTCGAGTCGAGGCGCAATGCAGCTAGACCCACGGGTGACCGCGCAAGGATGCGCGACCCTTGGGCGCTCAGATAATGGCACGGCGATGTGCGACAGTTGGGCGCCCAGGCTATGATGCGCAAGCGCTGGGCAGCACTTGGGGGCCCATGCAAGGATGCTCAAGTAGGGAAGTGCGACCCTTGGGCGCCCATGCAAGGATGATCAAGTAAGGATGCGCGTCGTTGCCCGATGCTCAAGTACGGGTGTAATGACGCAAGAATGCAAGGATGCAAGGATACCCTTGGGCGCCCATGCAAGGATGCAAGGGCGCCCGTGCAAGGGCGCTACAGTAAGGGCGCTCGGCGCGCGACCCTCGGGCGCCCATGCGCGGACCAACGGGGCATGGGCATGGGGCGCCAAGCAAGGGGGGGGGGGGGGGCAACGGCGGCGGCGCAACGGCCGAGGCGGCGGGGGAGGGGGGAGTGACAAGCAGCAAACGACCAGCCAAGCCATATACCACTGCCTTGCTGCACAGATGCGCCCCCGCGATAAGAGCGCCGAGCAGGCGACGGCGAGTTCCATCGGGAACGCGGTTCGCAGGAGCGGGCTCGCGACGGGGGAGGGAAATAACCAACTGCGCAAAAACAAGCAAAGGCCCTCGCCCGCTCCCTCGTTTCCCGCCCCCACTTACCCCCCTCATCCCCCGTGCCCTCCTTCCTCCCCCACAGCGGGAAGCCCTAACGTGTACCTGAGAGCCCCCCGCCACCATCAACTTTCCCACTCCCCATGTAAAGCGCAGCGGGGCGTTGGGCAAGCCCCCCCCCCCCCCCATGGCCCCCCGCTCGGCAGCCCCGCCCGTTGCCGCCGCCCTCCGCGGCCATCAGGGGCACGACGCCACGCAGCAAGGTGACCTGGCGGCGCGCGGCGCGCGGCGCTCTGCCCCCCCCCCCCCCACCCGCCCCAGCCCGCCCATGCACGATTGCGCTCGCTCGCAGATCCCCATCGAACTCCATAGCTCGCGCCCCCGCGCCGCGCTGTAAGAAACGCTGGGTCCATCGCGCGCTTGCGCTTTTGCGCCGCCCCCCAAAAGTTGCCGCGTCGGCGGCCCAAGCCGCGAAGCGCGATCATCGATTATCTGCTCGCCTGCGCGGGGCGCATCGCCCCCCGCGCACGCGCCGCCGCCCCGAAGCTGATGGGGGGCGGCGACGACGAGCGCAACGGCAATGAACGGCGACAGTTTTAATGACTAGGAGGGGGAAGATGAGGAGGAGGACGAGGAGGACGGGGACGAGGAGGAGGAGGAGGAGGAGGAGGAGGAGGAGGAGGAGGAAGGAAGGAAGGAAGGAGGAGGGACAACGGTGCGGGGCGGGGCGAGGTGAATAGGATGGGGATAATTTGCGAGCGGGCGGGGGGGGGGGGACGCCTCGGGACAGGGCTGTGCGTGCAAGGGCTGCCCATTTGGCCCGCTGTCCTGCAATCGTTTAGCTTTCTCTAGGCCGACGCAACACAGCAACATCCAACATTGACGGGGGGCGCGCGAATGCAACGCTGCAAAGTCATATTTGCATCGGGCCACGCGTGGATTCAGCGAAGCAACATCAAGCGTATATAGACGCGGGACTAGGTGGGGTAGGAAGGGGATGCGGAGGTCAAGGAGGATGTGACACCTGCTCGGAAGGAGTCCTCCTCCTCCTCCTCCTCCTCCTCCTCCTCCTCCTCCTCCTCCCCCACCTCCTCCTCGTCCTGCCACTGTTCCCTCTTTTCGCACGCGCTGGTCCCAGCGCTGTAGGTTGCGACGTTGGGATGCAGATTCGATTCCCGCGCCTCGCGGAGCAGCGCCAAAGCTCGATGCCACTCCCTATGTTCGTCGTCGTCGTCGTCATCGTCGTCGTCCTCGTCATCATCCTCAGCCTCCTCCTCCTCCTCCCCCTCCTCCTCCTCTTCCTCCCCCTCTGGACTAGACTGGGCAATGAGGGCGCAGAGTCATGACACATGGAAGGAAGCGCAATGGCGAGGGAGAGAGGGAGAGGGGAATGCAAAACCTGGCCAGGACGATGGCGAGGGGCATGTTCTCTGCTGGCTGCGCGGGCGATCACTTCCGCCCGACAGCGATGCTGGCAAGATGCGATCACCATGCGGGCGGGACGGGCGACGGGCATTGCGCGCGACAGTCGCGGGCACTGAGCACGCGAGAGCGTGCGCAGACAGCAAAGTCGAGCACGTCTGGGAACGCATCTCGCACTCACGACATGGGGCGGGCACCGCGGCACAGGTGCGAACCTAGCTGGAACGATCTGCGCACCGGTGCGAACCTAACTTGAAAGCATTGGTGCACCAAAGCCCGCTGCCACTCCCAATGTTCGTCCTTCTCCTCCTCCTTCTCCTCCTCCTCCTCCATTATCATCGCAATCGCCTCCTCCCAGATCTATCCTCACTATCCTGGCGCGGCCTCATAGGCCGAAGGAGCCATGTGACTACCTGTTCTCATGCCTTCCTACGCTTGCGCTTCTCTGGGCGCGGCAGATCCTTGCCGTCTGCAATCATCAGTGATGGCAACTTGGTCAGCTTGGGCAGGCGGCCCAACACCGTCGGCGAGCTCTGGACCTCGGCCTCGACCATCTTCGGGCCAGTCTTCTTCTTGGCACCAGCCACCGCCTCGGCAACGATCTTGTTGTTGCTCTCGAGAAATGTCTTGACCACACTCTGAAGCACCTTCTTCGTCTCCTTGAGCTGGGCGTCGGTATCCTTGACCTGCTTCTGCAGGTTCCTGATCAGGGGAATGTGCCTCGTGGATTGGATGGACGTCGGGTCCTGCATCATGAAGCTGAACGACATGGCGTGGCCTCCGACAGACTGGCCCTGGCGTTTCACCATCGCGAGGCCTGCTGATACGGAAGCGTGCGCTCACGGTGGCGCGCGATCACGGGCAAGGTGAGCCGTGAACCAATGGAGATGGCTCGAGCCCCAGATTGCAACGGAGCCTCAGAGGACACCTCACTCCAACTTCTCACTGGATCCATCCTCCACATCCTCATGTTCCTCGTTATCCGTTATCCCCATCAGTCTTAACATCCCTCCAACCCCAGCATCCCCGACATCATCATCATGGCACCCATTCCCCATCGCCAGTGTCGTTGCGTTCGCCAGTGTCGCCATCGTCGCAACCCCCTCATCATCAGCCATCCCATTACACAGCCCCCTCGACAAACCGTCGGACTGAGGACAAGCACGACAAGGAGGATAAGCGACAATTGCGGAGAGGGAAACGTAAGACATAGTGGAGAAGAGGGAAGAAGGCGATAAGGAAATCCATGGCCGAGGAAAGGGATGAGGAGGTTGCATGCAGCAAAATAAGGGGGTGAGGGAGGATATGCATCCGATCGCATCTGCTGGTCCGTGGTCCGCGCACCCCTAATCCTTCCCCATCCGCACACATCCACGTCCACCCCCGCCCCATAACGGGAGCACCCCCTTGCCCCCATGCTTCCGATCGGGAAACTATAAGAAACATGGCGGCGTGGAAAGGGCGCCGGATGAACATATACTATGGAACGGAGGCGGAGACAGGAGACAGCGCGACAGCGCGCGCTCGCCTGCTGTCGGACGGGAACTAGTGGAACAGAGGGGGGCTACAGGAACGGGGAACACATATGCGTCATGGGCGGAGGGTGGTCGTGGCCGGCGCGCGGGGCGCGGGGCCATCCTTGTGCCCCTGATGGCCGCGTGGAGGGCGTCGGTGGCGACGGGCGAGCCTGCGGCGCAGCGCGGGCCCGCCTCGCTCCGAGCCCGCCCCCCGTCGTTCACCCCCGCGGAGGAGGGGCGCGCAACAAATCTATATCCGCCGACCCCCCGCAGGGGCCGCCGAGGCAACATCTCCCCCCTTCGGAAAAGTTGCCCCCCTCAGCCCCCGCCCCCGCCCGCCCTGGGTCAGGAGGGCGGGGGGAGGCAAGCCCGAGACCCAATCGAGGCAAATGGTGGCCATGAGACCCCATTGAGGCAAGCCCGAGACCCCAATAGGTGGGTCCAAAATGCAACCCCGTGGTCGAGGCCACGATGCCTGACCTCCGCGGTTCCCCTGTCTATTGCCCACGCCGCTGGAGCGCCAGAAGAAAGACATGCATTGAAACAAACCAAACGCATGCGACATCGCGCAGAAGAGGCCACAGTGAACGCCGTCAAGCAATCACCAAATTCGGTATATCCCACGAGCCCTCTGGGCGTAGTTGGTCTACAGAGCTTCCTCTTCCAACCCCCATTCTTCCCCGTCGGGGATGAGTCTACCCCTCCCCCCCACCCCCTGCCCTGGACCTGGACACAGGGGGGCGGCGCGGCGTCGGAGCGTCCAAGATGGCCCAAGACGGTCCCAAGAGGGCCTCACAGAGCCCAATATAACTTCCAAGATGGCTCAAGATAGCCCACAATGTCGCAAGATAGCTCCCAAACTGTTCCCAGAGGCCCCAAGACCGCTCCAGGACGGCTCCAGGTGGCCTCCGAGACCTCCATGGAGGCCCCCGAGAAGCCGAGATCTCTGAACAACGTACATAAATCAATGATGTGCGCATCGTCGCCCGTTCGGCGGTCTCGGTTGCCCTCCGAAACCTCAAGATGGCACCAAGAATGCCAACGAGGGCCCCGAGAAAGGTCCAATACAGGCCCAAGAGAACACCAAGAGCGCCCAAGAACGGTCCAAGAGGGCTCCAAGAGGGGTCCAAGAGGCGATCCTTGGCGTTCCCTAGGGGCAATGCGAATTGCTACCCCTCCCGCTTCTGGTCGACGCCATCCAAGGTTGCCCCATGGGGCGCCCAGAAAGCCCCAAGAGGCCCCGAGATGGCCCCAAGATGGCTTCAGGAGGCCCCGCAACCGCCCAAGAGGACCCCAGGCGGCCCCAGTAGCTCCCTCCAAGGCACCCAAGACGCCCAGGAGCCCCCCATGACCGCCCAGAGACCCTCAAGACGCCCCGAGAGGCCTCCAAGGAACTACCAGAAGATATCCCCATATGCTCTTGGGGCGGGGGTCCAAGGGACCTCTGGCCCTTTTGCTTGCCCTCCCTCTCCTGGTCCTCCTCCCTTATCCTTGTCATCCTCCTCTCTCTCCTCCTGTTTATCATATGCACATTCATTTGCTCTACTCCGCCATCCATCCATTCAGCCACCCTCATCATCATCCTCCCTCAGGTGCACAAATCGGCGGTTCCCGCCTTTGCTCCCGCGCTTCCCTGATCACCTCAACCCGCCTGGACGTAGTTTCTGGATGGGCTGGCGGGGATACGCAAAACGCCCTGAATTCTTTTAGCTTGCCTAAAGGAGCCCACGCGCACGTTCCATGAACGCGTCGACGCCGACGCCCCCCCCCCCGCCCCCCCCTCGCCCAACGATGTACCTTACGCGTGCAGGGTCCAGACCTCGGGCTAAGGTAGCGCCACAATACCACACCGCACCTCTCACCACCCCCACCAATGGGCAGCGCCGTGCGGTGTTATATGTTTATTTGTTTTGATGTACAGCCGTGCCAGCTTGTAGTATGAACGGATGGTTTGGTAGCGTGACGTTTGAATATTACCATGGGGCAATTTCGATTGATAGTGGCTTGGAAGCGGACAGTCGTGTAGCGAACGATAAGGTTGAAAGGGTGACCGCGCGGGTTGGCGGGTCCGCTGTGCGTGGGCGGGTGCGCGGTTCATTGTGCGGTGGGCGTGTAATGACGTGCGTGTATTTGTTTGTTGCATGCGTCCAATGCAATGCCAGTCGGTGAATTAGCTATCTATGGTTAATATTTAAATGTAGAACGATGGCGTGCAAAGCGCGGGAGAAAGGGTGGCGGGGGGCGCTCGGGGCAATTTCATGTAATAATTCGATGTGCACCATAAACGTGCCAGAGTAGTGGCGTACATGTTATGTGTCTTAAGTCTAGTGTGGTGGCGTTCAAATTGCGGCTGTATAGGGCGAGTTTGTGGTGGCGGTGGTAGGGCGGGAATGGATTTGGGTTGAATGTTTTACATCCGTGCTATACTGTTTGCTGTATGATTGTGTGGTTGCGGTGTCGTTGAATAGTGGCATGCGCGTCGTGTGTTGGCTTCGGTGTTGCGACATAGGTTGGTCGTATTAAATATACAATGGTTGGTATTTCTGGACGGTGCCCGAATTCGATTTTCGCGTAGTGAATCTGGACTGGACTGGACTGGACTGGACTGACTGGCCGCACGGGTTTAGCGACCGTTGTATTTTCGGCGGCCGCGGGCGCAACCTATGGAGAAACCAATGGGAGACGCTCGGATTCCCAGCGGCCGAGGGGGCAACCCATGGCGCAACCAATAGGAGGCGGCCTTATTCTCTGCGGCCAGGGGCGCGAACTATGGCGCAACCAATAGGAAACAGTTTTACTCTCAGCGGCCGAAGGCGGAACCTATGGCGCAACCAATAGGAGGCAGTCTTATTCTCGGCGGCCGTGGGCGCTACCCATGGCGCAACAATAAGACACAAAATTTTTCTCTGCCGCCGAGGGCGCAACCTATGGCGCAATCAATAAGGGGCAGTCTTAGTCTCGGCGACCGAGGGCGCAACCTATGACCTATGGCGCAACAAACAGGAGACAGTCTTATTCTCGGCGGCCGAGGGCGCAACCTATGGCGCAACCAGTCGGAGGCAGCTTCTGTCTTTTAGTCTCGGTGGCCGAGGGCGCAGCCCGTGGCGAGCGGACCGGCGCCGCGCCGATTGGATGGACATCCACATGCGGGCGGGGCCACGCCAGATTTATGCTCGCCGTTTGGGCTGTCGGTGGGGCCCAAGCGGCGAGCTGTCTCGTGATTCTGGTGGGCGCGGCGTGATTGGCTAGTGATTCTACTGAGCGACATCGCGTTGCATTGCGGCCTCATGTGCGCTTGCACGCGCGCGAATTAAGAGGGCGCTGTGGTTGGTGCGAAGGGCGTTGCTGCGCGCACCGCCCTCGGGAAGGGGAGGGGGGGGGGCGCGGCGGGGGGGGGGGGGGGGGGGGCGCGGCGGAGGGGCGGGGGGGGGGGGCAGCTTTGATTTGGCAGCACGGTAGTGATATTTCGCGAGTTGCTCAGCTTTCTCGCGGCAACCAGATCCAGCACCCTAGTAATACCGACTGCAAATGCCAGCCCTGCTGCGACCGACGCCCCCCTGCGAAGCGTCATAAACGCATGAACGCGCGCCTCGGAGCCTGGATGGACAGCCAGCGCGCCGCAGTCCTCGGCCGAATTTCTCGAGCCAGCTGCTTAGAAAACCTGGCCTTGCGACGAGCGCCGCACATCCGATGGCAGCGCGGCGAGCGCGGGCGGCAAACTGCGCGCGCCCCCCGGTTGTCACATGCGTGTCAAACGACGCCGAATGCGCGAGGCGACGCGAGACCCCGCGCGAGCGAAGCGCGCGAACTGGCTTAAATTATATCGCACGTCGGCGCGCGAAGCGCGCTCAACTGTTTGCGCGATTGACTCCTCGGCGCGCGACGCGCGCCAGACTGTTTGCAGCATGTGCACGGCGGCGCGCGGGGCGCGCCATGCGGTTTACGCGGTTTACAATTTTGCGCGCGAAGAGCGCACAGCCGCTCGCACCGCGCACATCTTGGAGCGAGAAACGCGCCTGGCGGTTCACCACGTTGACACTTCGGCACGCGCAGCGCGACATCCCTGTGGCCCCAGGCCAGCATGGCGACCGCGCCCCTAAAACGTTGCGCAGTGCGCTGGGAATCGTGCGCGCGTCGCCCCGCGACCCATTGCATGGGGCGCCCCGAACTTTGGGCTGCGCAACCGACAACCGCGGCCCCGTGCTTTTGCCCCTCGGCACGACGCCCGCGAGCCCGCAGCCACGCCCCGACCCCTGAGAGCACCCCCCTGCGCCGCGAGCCCTGCAACCGTG